CAAGTATTTTCTTCTCTAAGAGGAACTAAAAATTAACTCTCACAACCACATGTAAGCCCTTTGTTTCTAAATCTTTAATGACTTAAAAAGCATTTTATTCCATTTAGTAAGTCCTGGATCTCTTATGGCAACAAAAAGTATCTACTAAAAAGAGATCTGAAGTGAACTTGTCAGGACCAGTTTATTGTTACCATTCACTTCCCTGGAAGAAATCAGTATGTTAGTTAAAACATTAAAGAAAATGGGGGCCTCTCTGGTAGTGCAAGGGGTTAAAGCACAGCACTATGAAGCTATTGGCAGCCACTGCAGCTTAAGTGGAGTTGTATCCCTGGCCAGGGAGCTGACCCACATGGCACAGCAGACCTCTTCTGTCTTGCCCACTGCTTCCCTCAACAGTGTATTTCAGTAGATTTGCCTGTTCTGTTCCCCACTCTGATTCTGGTGAATCTTCTGAACACCACCCCTACACCTCTGGCCTTTAGCCTAGCTCTTTTATGCATAAATAAAATAAATCCTTAAAAAAATTAAAATGAAAAAAACTTTCAAATAATATTTCATGTTATCATTGGATATTAGTTTCAGTTGCTGTCTTGGGATTTTATATCTATTTCCCGTGGTTTGCAATTCTCTAGTCTTGAGAGGAGGATACAAAGATATTCAGATATTTGAAAATAGGCCCCTATTAATCTGACTGACACCATCCACAAGAAAAAAAATCCAAAACTTATGGAATGTTTCAACCTTACTATGATATAACAGCAAATTAATAGTAATAAAAAGAGCTCCTAAAATCAGTAAGGCAGAAAGAGTCTGGAAAAGAAGTACAGCTACCAATAAACTTGAATAGATGCACACAGCCTTTTTAGAATTAGGAAATAAATAATAAGTCTGACATTCCTGGCAACATTTTTTTAATAGATTTTGTTTTTTTATTATATTCACTATTAGTGGTAGTGATAATATGCTATGTAGTTACTATGTTATATAATTAGTACTATGTATTATTGATAGAACTAAAATTGGTAGAGGCTTTTTTGGTGCATGCCTTTAGTCCTAGAAATTTCAATGTTTTGTATTCTGTTTTACAAAAATGATGGGCACAAAGTAATTTGTTCCAACATATTTCAAAAAAATTGGAAATGCCATAGGTAATCTGTGCTAAATTGAATTTGTTGTGGAATATTACATAGCTATTAAGAATGTAGTACATATTTTATATATTGAACGCTAAGACTTTCTATGTGCCAAAAAATCCAAGTTGTCCAACATGTATAATATCTCATAAAATTCACCAGACTGATACATGTATATATGTTATTACAAGGGTATGATAATACATAAAAAGACTTGACAGTATTTATACTAGATTATTCACTATGATACTTCTGTAGAAAACGAATTGGAGAGACAAATGGGAAGGTTGACATTTTCCATTTTACTCTTCATACTTTTGGGAATATCACTAGTACCTAGTGATCTGTTAAAAATATATAACAGGGACCTCCTTGGTGGTGCAACTGGTTAGGATGCAGCACGAAGCTAGCTGCAGCCGCTTCAAGTATGAGTTCAATCCCCTACCCTGGAGGTGACCTACATGGTGTGGCAGACCTCTCCTGACCCACCTGCTGCTCCCCCAATAGTGTGCCTCGTAGATCTACCTGTTCTGCTTCCCACTCTCACAGCCCCTGTACCTCTGACCTGTACCCAGTTCTATATACATAAATAAATAAATATTTAAAAAATAGCAGCATAGTGAAATAAGCCAGAAAGAAAACGAAAAATACCAGATGGTTTCACTCATGGTAGGAGTATAAAGGACCAGGTGAGAAAATAATAATAATAATAATAATGAACTATATACCAGAGACATTTTATGGGGATGGAGTGGGGAATGGGATCAAAAACAGTGGGAGGAGGGAAATGCACTGGACTATGGTGATGGCACATGGGTGACTTGGTGATGGAAGCCCATGGGGATGACAACTGAGATGGGAAAAGGCACAAAATGATGTAAAAATAAAATATTATTAAAAATATATATATATCAGTGATAATTTCTTTTTAATGTTTGCTACTAAGAGTGTTTGGACTAATTAAGAACCACTTTGAAGAGGTTTATTTCCTAAGGAATCAGTCCTAGCCATATCATCATTGTAGTAAAACATTATCTACTTTTTTTCAGTTATAAGTAGGCAATTAATTTTGACTCCTCAAAGATTAAATAAGTTATTTTAAACCCACCCAGCATAAGTTTGAGTGTTAAAGACCTAACCGAAGATAATAAAATAACAGCACTGAAGATTTCCTCAGCACACAACACAAAGAAACAGGTTGAATTAGCTGACTCAACTCTACCAGGAAATGTTTGTTTTTAATTTTTTTTCTGTTTTATAAATTAACCCAAAATATTAGGAACTTTTTTAAAGATTTATTTTATTATGCTTACAAGAGTTGGGGTGTAGAACAGAAGTGTGGAGGGGGATGAGAGGATTCACCAGAGGCAGAGTGGGGAGCAGAACAAGCAGATCAACTGAACTACACTATTGAGGGGCGTAGTGGGCAACACGAGAGAGGTTTGATGTGCCATATGGGTCAGCTCCCTGGCCAGGGATCTAACTCATGCTGAAGTGGCTGTGGGTAGCTTCATAGTGCTTTGCATCAAAACCCTTGCTCCACCACAAAGATCCCTACAAATGGAAGATGTTAACTAGAAACTGAACAGTACCTAAAACAGCTCGGTTGTTTTTTTTTTTTTTAAGATTTATTTATTTATGCATACTGAACATGGGCACAGGCCAGAGGTGCAGGGATGGTGAGAGGCTTCACCAGAGACAGAGTGGGGAGCAGAACAGGCAGATCGGACAAAGTAAACTGCTGAGGGGCACAGTGGGGGGGGGCCAGGAGAGGTCTGCTGCACCATGTGGATCACTTCTGAGGCAGGCAGGGATCAAACTCATGCTGAAGTGGCTTTAGTTTCTTAGTGCTGTGCTTTAACCCGCTGCACTACCAGGGAGGGCCTCAAGTTTTTATGAGGAAAATTCCACAGAAGAACAGCACTATTGAGGAATGTCCTATGTATTAAGTATATTTTCTTCATTTTACTGGAGGCTAATTAAGGCTGTTGGGCACTTTAAATTCTAGTTGATTTACATGCTGCTGGCATATATAGGTACAGAGAAATAAATATTGTCACGAATTCAGTAAATATTTATTCACCGAGTGCTGTGCTTAAACAGTGAGGGAGGTGTTTGGAAACAGAATGATGACTAAGATTCCTGTCCTTAAGAAGCTGGTTTTTTCAGGGGTGGAGGTTGTGGTAATATCTAATTTTGTTAATCAAATGGACTAAAGAGATTTAAAAATAACTTTTACAATATTTATGGGTAATTTTTAGTGCTGTAAAAAGGGATAATTTTTACTGTAATAAAAACAAGTCTCCCTATCTTTATAAAAGGCCATTTTAATTAATAATACTGCTTTCTTGGCATTTATGTCTTAGAGGCTACAGAATTGGGTAGGTATTGGTCATTTTAGTATTGCAGTTTCATTTTTAAAAAGTTTAGTAAACTGCCTTTTAATTTTTTAACTGTTTTATTGGCCTGGGAGGCGCAAATAGGAAGGAAGGAAAATCATTATTTCTAAATGGAATTTATTTATGTCCACACAAGCACAGTTTGAGCCCGAATTTTCCCCTTATAGAAATGTTTCCAACGTGAATATTTACATATGAGGATAGGTTATATTTACTTTCAGGGTTTCTGAAAGTAAATATGTAGATGTAGAGTTATTTCTCTAACATAAAGCTTTACACCACCCCCTTGTTTTTTTTAAAGAGTATATCCTGAGTAGCCTCAGACAAACTGTGAAGTAGTCAGGGTTTGTATTTGGGATTCCTATCCTTTGGAGTGTTAAATTCTCCATTTTAGGCTACCTGTGCCTCCACTTCCTTTATCTTTCCTTTTTTAAAAGATTTTTCTCCTCCCCTCAGTAAGTCTTGGTGTCATTTTAGATAACTTATTTTTTCCCCCCAAAGATTGTTGGTAGGATAAAGTCTATTTAAAAGTTGTCTTACGGGCTCTCCCTGGTGGTGGTACCGGTTAAAGTACAACACTATGAAGCTAGCTGCAGCCTCTTCAACATGAGTGGGACCCCAACCAGGGAGCTGAGCCAGTGGCCCACCAGACCTCACCTGTCTCACCGGCTGCTCCCCGCAGCAATGTACTTGGTCAGTCGGCCTGTTCTGCTCTCCACTCTGTCTCCCATTAAGCCTCTGACTGTCTCTTCACCTCTGGCCTGTATCTCAGTTCTGTATGCATAAAAAAAGGATGTCTTAGCTTGTGTTACAAAAGCAAAATACTATAGAGGGTCACTTAAACAATAAACTTTTCTTATGTTTTTAAACTTTGGGATATTCAGAATCAAGGGATTGGTAGATTCAGTGTCTGGTGAGAGCACTTCTCTTGCTTTGCAGATGGGTGCCCTCTTGCTGTATTTTCACATGGTAGAGAAACCGATCATCGCCCTCTCATCTTTTTTTTTTTAATAAGGACACAGATCACATAGTGACCTAGTTATCTTCTAAGAATCCTATCTACAAATGCCATTGTAGTGGGGATTCAAACTTCAACATCATAATGTTAGTGGTACACAAACTTCCAGTCCATGGCAGTAGTGTAGCTAATAATGAAGAATTAAGTTGCTAAGCACAGTAGGGCTTGCAGTATCATCAGCTTCTTAAGTGAGGCCAATATAATGCATCTGAAGATAATCACATTAATAAGGAGTCAGTCTTATGGCAGATGGAGTAGTCAATCATTTGTATAGGTTCATAATTTATATGCGAAATTTGTAATTCATGTAAGATTAGTAATAAATTCATAGATAAATATGAAGTGTAGTTTGAAGGCACTATTTTGAACCTATGCAACATACACAATTTTTTATACCTTAAGAAAAAGAATAACCCTGAGTTATAGTCATAATTTTTTCCTTTTTCCTAGATTTAAACAGTCAAGTTAAATCAGGCTGGGTAATCATGGCAGAAGGTGGATTTGACCCCTGTGAATGTGTTTGCTCTCATGAACATGCGATGAGAAGACTGATCAATCTGGTGAGATGAACAGGACAGTTCTGTTCAACTTAACTATATCCTTTATATTGCTTTTCTGATACTTTTGGATACTGGAAGGTTTTTTTAATCTCATGGTCACTAAAAATTGCTTCATAATTGAGTTCCATGGTGCTTTAAGTCATAATGGTTAAAATGTTTGCCAGCATTTCTTCCATTAGAGATAAAAACAACTTCTTGTCTTTATTTATGGTAGATTTATGTTGGTAAAATTCACTATGGGTAAGTATCATATTCTTAGATAGCTCTTTCTGTTCTGTATTAATATATATAGGCTTTAATTATACAGAGCTTGTTTACTAGCTAAACTACTGTATAGTCACAGTTCCTGTTACAATAGGATTCAAGTCCTATTCCAACAAATGGCTCAGTAAAAATCTCTATGCAAAGTATTTCCAAATCCAAACAATTATTTGACAGAGATAGATTTTTGAACAGGATAGGCTCACTTAATCAGTTGTATTGAGACTTGAATTGGAGTCTTGTTAAGATTTTCCTGTCTATAAACTTAAGTAAAGTGCTATTCATGTACTATATTTTTTACTTTTTAGTTTGAAGGTAAAACTTTGACCATTATTAACAATAAGGTATATTATTTATTTTTGTTGTTTTTAAGTACTCTTTATTATCATAGACAAATTAATAAAGGTAGGTACAGTATTTTTGCTCAAGTATTTAAATTGTTGGTAGGTAAAAGCAGGTGTTCTGCTCACTCACTGTCTCTGTATAATGATCACTAATATTCTGGTATTCTATGAGCCTTAAGAATACCTTAGAAAGATATGCAGTAAGAATTTAAAAATCACACTTTTGCATGTATAGAAATATAAAGGGGATGTAATATCTTTGGTAACTTGATGTAAAAAATGGATGAGTCTAAGAAGAAATTATTTAAATTTTTTCTCTTATTTATGAAATTAGAGCTAGTTTTTATGTTTAAATTTAATCAAACATCTGGCAGAATTTTTAAAAATAATTAACGATGTTAGCAACAGAAAACAGACTTATAATTTAACTATGGTAACTTTCCAAGGAGGTCAGTTTTTAATAAACATTGCTACTTTTTTTTTTTAGCATTTAAAATTTTTAATATAGTATTTTTATATTAACTTCTGGTTTTTAGAAAATGGCAAAAAACATGCCATACATTTTATGATCTCTTCAATAGTGTCAGGAAAGCGAGGGTTAGATTTGTTTTAAATGTGCATATTACTTCATGATGAGACATTGTTAGGAAATTCTGGTTTGAAGTACTTTGTGATTGTATAAAAATAAATTTCAGATTTTGTAAATCCTTTAGAAGTCCATATAACTTGACATGCTGGATATTTTTGTATATTATAAGTTATTGATTGTAATCTGTTGTGACAGCTAATATAGATTCCAAAAGGGGGAAGAAACTCATTTGATTCATTAAGGAAATTTGCTGATTAGGTTTGATAGACAACAGTTTCTCTATCTAACCACATTATGAGTTAGGATAAATCAGTTAGGGGTTCTTCAAAAAGTTTATCTTGTGTGTACTTTCTTTAGATAGTTATTACAGGATTGACTATTTCTCATCAAAATGCAGGCATAGACCAAAAGTGATGACTGAGATGTGGAGAAAGAAAGCAAGAGATCCAGTACAGAAGCAAGGTTAACTTCCAAAATCCTAGTGAAAGGAGATCTAATGGTGATAGCTGTGCACCAGTAACACAGACAACAAGTTTAGCTGGGAGGGTGTCACATGGCTCCAGAAGAGACTTTTTCAGAAAGATGAGTTGGTAGAATATCTGATGTGTTTAGACATTTTGTGATCTAGGCAACTGAAAACAGTTCTTGAATACTAACAAGTAAATGAGAAAAAAGTTATTAACTTTAAGGAAACAGGAAATAGTACAGAAAAGTAATGATTGTTTAACATAGTCATAATATAAAGAACATAGTAGTCATAGTGTAGACATTTTGAATTGAAGTATATCTCTTGATAGCCTTGTTATTAGAAGATGGGAAGAGTATACATGTAAGATGAGGGCAGGAAAGGAAAGCGAAGCATATCTTTACATACTTTCCTGGAGAATCAATGAGTATTGCTTAAAATTGACACATCTGGAAGTTAACAATAATGAACATTTACATATAAAGACATGGGCCCTCCTTGGTGGCAGAAGGGATTAAAGGGCAGCACTACAAAGCTGGCTGCAGCTGTTCATGCTTGGCCAGGGAGCTGACCCGCTTAGTGCAGCAGACCTCTCCTGTGGTGCCCACTGCCCCTCAGCAGTGTATTTCAGTAGCTGTGCGTGTCCTGATCCCCATTCTGTCTCTGGTGAATCCTTTCACCACCCCCTATACTTCTGGCCTGTACCGCAGTTCTGTATACATAAATAAATAAATAACTATTTTTTTTAAAAGAAAGATTTACTGGAGTTTTAAAATGCTGTTAAAGAAGAAGACAAACTGAAAAACATCATAGATAAGTAATAATGTGATACTCTTCATCTCAGACAAAATACAAAGTCAAAACAATGAAATGATCATAATGAACCATTTTGTCCTGGAAAGTAGAGAATATAAAGTCTATTAGAAATAAAAGAAGAGTTACATTTTACAACTATCAAGAAATGCTCGTGAAAGTCATGAAGATGCTTTTGTAGTTTAGAGTGAGTATGAACGGTCTGCAGATGAACATGTATGTCGTAGCATGTGTTTATAAATGAATAGAGGAGGTTCCAAGGACTATTCCTTGGGCTCCTAATACTGGTTATGTTGGGGAAGAGTTTGAAAGGACCTTAGGCATTGTTTTAAGCTTATTAGAAGTCTCTGATGTAGGTTTTTCTCTACAAATGAGGAGACTGAGGTAGCTAAAGGTTTTTAAGTATGTCTAGGTGTTGCAGCTGATAAGAGAGAGTATCAGAGGCAATTCAACCTTGGCAGTTTAACACGTCTGTTTCTTTAGTAACATATTATGTTCTCTAGCCTGTTAGTCTCCTTAAAGCACCTTAAAAATACTGGTTTTAGTTTCACTCATAGCAGGAGCATAAAGGGCCAGGGGAAAAAAACCAATAATAAACAACTATATATCAAGACATTTTATAGGACGTAGTGGGGGATGTGATCAAAAACAGGGGTGGGGGTGGATGGTAGGGGAAGTGCACTGGACTATGGCACATGGGTGATTTGATGATGAGAAGCCCACAGGAATTATAACTGAGATGGGAAAAGGCACAAAATAATGTACAAATAAATTATTATATTAAAAATTTTTTGTTTTTATCAAGGGAATAAAGGCTAGGAGAAAACAGCAGAAGAGACATATTCACTGTATTTTCATGTTTTGGATACTATGTGAATATATTACCTATTCAAATAATTAACTTATCAAAAACTAAGCATCCTCAAAGACTTATATATAAAAAATAATTATAGGTATTTCACCTGAGAATACAATTTTTGAATATAGTTACATGACCTGAAAAGAAAATATATTCAACAGTTTTGACCTTTTTGTTCTAATTCTGACCTTGATTTTTTTTTATCAGAATATAAAAACATACATAAAAGAAAAAAATGTGTATGTCCCCCAAAGCTTAATGACTATAAAGCAGTTCAAACTTCTTTGTAATACTACTTCATTAATGCTTATGTTTTGGTTGCTTAACTGCTAAGCTATCTATGCCAGTACAAGGAATATAAAATTTCATTACTTTTTTTTTTTTTGTCTATCTGCTATGTGGACTTGAATGCAAATGTCTGCACTTCTGTATATTTATAGGAGTGTTTTACATGATAAACAATGTTTAAGTTCAAGATTAATAAAACTGCATTACAAAGAATGCCCATTTTGGGATGCTAATGACAAAGCTTTACTTATGCTAGGTGTGTATCCTTCCTTGATGTAATTACATCATTGAATTACACAGATGTTACATTGTTCATAATGCAGTTATACTTTGCCGGGCACATGTAGTTTTCTATTTGTCTCAGGAATGTTTATAAATGTTAAAAAATAAAGGTGTTACAGATGTTTTTCTTGTGTAGTCTAAACTCTTGTTTTTGGGGCAGTATTTATAGTTTTATTTAAAAACTGGTTTAAAAGGATTCAAAAGAAGTAGTTAATAATATACAGTGAGTCCCTTTCAGTTAAAATTGTGTCTTTATCACATTACATCTAATTCTATGTTTTATGACTTGATTTAATGTGAAAATATGTCTAGTGATAAAGATTTTTAGTGATGTGATTGTAGAATACAGCTACATATGTAGAAAATGGCAACAAAGTTGTAATCTAGTTGTCTTGTTTTTTCAATCATTTCCTACAGCTATGAAAATGATGTTTTTTCCATTCTCATTGAAGCCAAGTGCAGAATTATTCTGACTTCACTCTTTTCTGCTCCTTTTCCACCTTATTTCTTTCCTGTTCTTGACTGACCCTCCACATCTCTTAGTGTGTAGTTTCTTCTGTTAATGATTTAGAAATATGAACTTGGATTATGCTCTGTGTTTTGCTTGTTCTCTGTTGTAACCTAAGATTTGGAGTGCAGGTAATCCTTTGGTGGAATGTTGAAAACAGTGTAAATGAAACTTCTACATCTTTAATTTACTTAAGTTTGTTACCTTGTTAAAATATTGTACCGTGGGCTCTCCCTGGTGGCGCAGTAGGTAAAAGCACAGCACTAAGAAGCTAAAGCCACTTCCACATGCGTTCGATTCCCACCTGCCCCGGAGGTGACCACATGGCGTGGCAGACTTCTCCTGACCCGCCTGCTGCTCCCCTCAGCAGTGTACCTCATCGATCTGCCTCATCGATCTGTTCCCCACTCTTTCTCTGGTGAAGCCTCTCGCTGCCCCTAAACCTCTGGCCTGTACCCCAGTTCTGTATGCACAAATAAATAAATTAAAAAATATATATATTGTACCATAAGCATGTGATTGGGGAGACTCTTGGTCAGAATTTTCCTTAGAATCTGATTGTAGAATGCCCTGTAAATTTTGACTACTGT